CCCAAGATCCCGAGAGGAGAATGGAGGAGAAGGGATTGCGGTGTGGCCATCCCCCCTGGGGGGTGATTCTCACTTTCTGTCTCTCTCTTTCTGGTGAGTGCACGCACCCTATAGCAAAAATCTCTCCAAGAAAAAAAAAGTTAAATCTTTAATATAATTCTTATATATAAACAAAGAAGAAAAAAGGCCTGATGAGACAGGAATGGACTCTTGCCCCCATCCTTTTTAAGCCCCCTGCTCGAGCAGAAATGTTGATGGGTACCCATAGTTGAGGGTAAAGGAGAGGAAAGAATAGTAAGTAGGTCAGAAGGAGGGAGGGTGTGATTTAGGTTGATGGCTCTCATTCTCCTTCTTTGTCCAGAGTACCTGAACTATGAGGATGGGAAGTTCTCTAAGAGCCGGGGTGTGGGAGTGTTTGGGGACATGGCTCAGGACACAGGGATCCCTGCTGACATCTGGCGCTTCTATCTGCTGTACATTCGGCCTGAGGGCCAGGACAGTGCCTTCTCCTGGACAGACATGCTGCTCAAGAATAATTCTGAGCTGCTTAACAACCTGGGCAACTTCATCAACAGGTAAGACTTGGTGAGGGGTCAGAGTCTGCAGATGAGCTGCAGGAAGGTGAATTCTCCCTCAGGAGGTGGGATGTGGAGAGAACCAGTAGGTGGGCAGGAGGCTGTGAAGGACGGAAAGGACAACATGGAAAGTTCTCCCTCAGTTCGGATCTGCTGCTAGCATTACATATGCCATGTGTACTTGAGTTAGCAGCTCTAGAGATGTGATTTAACAAAGTGGGCCACAAGATAAAAACTTGGCAAATTATATTATTAATGTTCTTTGTAGAATTGGAAATATTTTCTCCTAGCAGAAAAGGTTTCCTGTAGGCCACTGAAAAGGCTGGCTGAAGAAAAGAGTCATTCTAGTGTAGGGACAGGAAGCTTCTGTTGTGTTCTTCAGTCTTTGCTACTTCAGGCTCATGATCTATTATTGGTTCCTATCTCAGCTATTCAGCGAACTAGATAAATATCCTCCATGGCTTTACTACTACCTCAAATTATTTGGACTTGGAGTTGAGACCGGGAGCCTTTCGTGTAGTCCTCCTACCAACCCCTTTTTTTATGTTTGGTCAGTACCACACTTTGATAGTCCTTACCTGAGTTTTTTGTGTTTTTACTTGCTAGAGAGCATGTATGATCACCAGAAAGAGCATGCATCTCTTACCCAAAATGGGAGTCATGCTGTAATCCCTTTTCCTCCATTTCTCCCTCCCATCAGGATTTTGGGTACACATGTATATATACCCAGCATGTTTTTCCAGTTGCTGGCATAGGGACTAGAACCACTGTTAGCTATATGGAATTCATCTTTCTATGCACAGCACTTAAACACTGTGCTATGGGGCCAGCCCCGTTATTAGAGTATTGAATAGCGTTTATCACATTATACACACACACACACACTTTTTTTTTTTAAGATTTTTTACCATAGGGCACATACACTTGCTGGAGATAGAGAAGTGAGAAATGACCACATGGAGGGATGACCACACCACAGTCCTCCATTCTCTTTGGAATTTGGGCACGCATGCCCAACACACATGTGCCCAGCATGCTTTTTAGCCATGGGCCTGGGACTCAAACCGTAGAATTTGCCATGTGAGATACAGTGCCTTTTTTTTTTTTTCTTACAGTTATTTAATTTTATTTATCATCATTAGTATTATCTCCGAATTTGCTACAGGACACATTTGCTCAGCAGACAGACAGAGAGAGGAAAGTGAGAAAACAAGTCATCAGGTCCAGAATTTGAACCATGGTCACCCATTTGGGAGTCCAGTGCCTCAACCACCATGCCACCTGCTGGCCCTGGGATGTAGTGCTTTAATCACCATGCCACCTGCTGTCCAAAAACAATATATATATATATTTTTTTTTTATAGAGGTTTTTGCTATAGGGCACGTGCGCTTGCCAGACAGAGACAGAAAGTGAGAAATCACCCCCCAGGGGGTGGCCACGCCGCAATCCCTTCTCCTCCATTCTCCTCTGGGATCTTGGGCACGCATGCACACGCACCCGGCGTGAGTTTTAAGCCAGCGGGTCTGGGACGTGAACCGCGGTCGACTACGTGGGAGTCCAGCGACATAGCCATTACGCTAACTGCTGGTCCCTAAAAACATAATATATTTTATTTTAACTTCATTCTGAGTAGTCACTTACTAAACATATACTTGCTTGATTTTATGTACAGAGCCATAATCTTAAGGGAGAAAGAGAACAGAAAATTAGTGTGTTAAGCTTTTGCTTTTGAGCTTGAGAGAACCAGATGGTATCATTCCAGGTTGGAATTCTGAGGGATTGTAGATTTGTGGGAATTGGGTCAAACATCTATATGGATACTGGCCGTAACTCCTCCATCCTCTTGTCCTTCCCTATGCTCATCAAGAGCTGGGATGTTTGTGTCAAAGTTTTTTGGGGGATATGTTCCTGAGATGGTGCTCACTCCTGACGATCAGCGCTTGCTGGCTCACGTCACCCAAGAACTCCGGCATTACCACCAGCTGCTTGAGAAGGTTCGGTAAGTCACCTAGACCTCTCTATTATCTCTAATCTGCTGTCATGTTCAAAGCCTCGTACTAGACCTCATAGGACCTTATGCCTTGGCTTGCCTCCTGTTCCCAGGATCCGGGATGCCTTACGCAGTATCCTTACCATATCTCGACATGGCAACCAATACATTCAAGTGAATGAGCCCTGGAAGCAGATTAAAGGCAGTGAGGCTGACAGGTAAGTAAGGGGTAGGGGTAGGGCTGGCTACAGAAATAAAGTAGCTGGTTGGCTGTGTCCTGGAGGTCTTGACTGTGCTCTCTTCTTCCCTAGGCAACGGGCAGGCACAGTGACAGGTGTGGCAGTGAATATAGCTGCCTTGCTGTCTGTCATGCTTCAGCCTTACATGCCCACAGTTAGTGCCACCATCCAGACTCAGCTGCAGCTCCCACCTCCAGCGTGCAATATCCTGGTCACAGACTTCCTGTGTACCTTACCAGCAGGACACCAGATTGGCACAGTAGGTCCCTGAGAGTTGGAAGAGCCAGCCTCTCTTAAAATTCATCCTTCTGTCATGCAGCCTGTACAGCCTTTGGGGTGGGGTGAGAAAAGGCCTAGCAGCTCCTCAGCTTTACTTTGGGCATGAGACTTTTACCACTGTTCTCTGAATCTCTCCCCAACTCCTACCTACTCTGCACTTAGGTTTGTTTCTGATAAAAAGTCCATGCTATTGGTTCAACATGCCCACTGTTACCTGTATGTCCTCCATGCACATAACTGGTCAAATGTTGATCACCTAGTCTCCATGATACCAGTAGGCAGTGGGCAGGGAGGACACAGGGATAGCCATTTTTGCCTTGACACATAAGAAAATACATACATGGGACCAGCAGTTAGCGTAATAGCTATGTCGCTGGACTCCCACATAGTCGACCGTGGTTCGAGTCCCGGACCCAGTGGCTTAAACTCATGCCGGGCGCATGTGCGTGCATGCCCAAGATCCCGAGAGGAGAATGGAGGAGAAGGGATTGTGGCATGGCCATCCCCCCTGGGGGGTAATTTCCTGCTTTCTGTCTCTGTCTGGCGAGCGCACGCACCCTATAGCAAAAACCTCTCCCAAAAAAAAAAAAAGATTATTGTGGAAAATACATACATCCCTAAACTTCTGGATCAACCTAGCATCATTAAATAGCATAAGTTATCTTTGGTCCTATTAATAGCTTTCCCCAGTGAATGCTATTGATTTTTCTGATTTTTTTTTTTGCTAAAATCAGTTATTTATTCAATGTTATGCTAACAAATCTAAAACATACTGTGACTTCCTAAGTGTCAGAGTTTGAGGCTAGGGAGGGCCTCTGTAGAGCCTGACAGAATTAATACCTAATCAGTGAATGATTCTGGGATTCTTTTTTCACAGGTCAGTCCCTTATTCCAAAAGCTGGAAAATGACCAGATTGAAAGTTTGAGGCAGCGCTTTGGAGGGGGCCAGGTGAGAAAGCTAAAGACTATGCTCTCACCCAATAGCCACAGTGTCACCTCCCTAGTTTCCCTACGTAATCCTCACTCATCACTCTTTTATCTTTTGGCCCTGCTGCTTCCTCACTTCTAGTTTTTCTTTCCTATCTTAGCTAGAAGAGTCCTTGGAGTTAAAGGTAATTACTTTTCCTCAAAAATGTTACATAAAACTGCAGGTCAGCGGAATTTACAGTAGCCCATGTTAACTCCATTGTTTTCCCTAGGTGAAACCATCCCCGAAACCAGCAGTTGTAGAAACTGTTACAGCAGCAGGGCCACAGCAGATACAAGTGCTCATGGAGGAAGTAACAAAACAGGTATGCCGCTTAAGGCCCACAGGAGACTGGAAACGCTGGTCCTACATAGGCCCTTTCCGGGCTCACTTTATTCTCCCTCCCCTGCTTCTAGGGCAACATTGTCCGTGAACTGAAAGCACAAAAGGCAGACAAGAACCTGGTTGCTGCGGAGGTGGCTAAACTCTTGGATCTAAAGAAACAGCTGGCTCTAGCTGAGGGGAAACCCCTTGAAGCCCCTAAAGGCAAGAAGAAAAAGTGAAAGAACTGGGCTTATAGAACATCACTTTAATAGATACAGGCATTAATAAATAAATGTATGCTCTCTATGTACAAACCAAGAAAGACCCGACCCTTTTGTCTACCCAAGCCTTCTCCCTACTGAATATGTGGTGGGGGGGGGTCACATCATTGGCACTGGTGAGAAGTGGTCAGTAGCCACTTCTGGGAAAGGAAAGGCAGGTAGTGGCCTGAATGAGGCGTGACGGTCCCAGCTGTTAGCTTTGGTGCAGATTAACCATTCGGTCAATCAGAGCTCGGCGAGTTGCCTCTACCTCCCTGGTCAGGCGCTCGATTTCCTGCTTGAGGCGTTCATTCTCTTCAGCTAGCTGTGCCACTTTCCTTTCATTTTCCTGTTCTTTCTCCTTCATGCGCTGCTTTCCAGCCCGGGCTGGAGACTGGCCACTCTGTTTCCGTTTCCTGGTTCTTCCTTGGTCTTCCTCCTCTTCCTCCTGAGCCGGGGAACTCTGACTGGAACTCTGACTGGATTCCGGAGAACAAGGGCTCTGAGAGGTACTTGTGACCTCTGCTGGTCCTGGCTCCTCAGTCAGCCAAGCCAGAGAGGCAGGGTCAAGAGTGGTGAAGGTTTTTGATTCTTCCTTCAAAAAAAAAAAAGAACAAAAAAAAGAATAGATAATAGTTGAGAAGATAAGGCACTCAACCTCTACCCTCCTCCCGAGCTTTAGGCCTGGCATTCTCACCTCTTTGTTTCCAGGGGGTGAGACATAGGTACCCCCATTTTCATCTGAGGACAGGACCTCCTGCAGGTCCTCATACCAGGCTTCCAGCTCCCAGCTGGACAGTGTCCCAAAGGAGAAGGGCAATGACTCAGCTGCCATCTCTGCAGTCAGATCAGGTCTGCAAAAGCACATACTCAGGATAATGGGGAGTGGGTGGAACAAGCGCCCCATAGCAAACCATCTAGACCACATGTTGGCAACTGATCTGCTGCCTGTTTTGCAGATAAAGTTTTACTGGAGCACAGCCTCATCCAATCATTTACATATCGTTTATGGCTGTTTTCATACAACAAAGGCAGAAATAAGTAACTGACACACTACACGGCTGTTATCACCTAGAATACCATCTAGCCCTTTAATATTTGCCAACCCCTAGTCTATATTAACCTTCCTCCCCTGCTTTTTGCCCAGGTCTTGAAGAAACAAAGTGTTTGGATATATACTTTTCTTTTTTTTTTTAAAGTTTTTTCTTTCTGCCATAGGGCATGTATACTTGTCAGAAAGAGACAGAGAAACATAGAAAGTGAGAAATCATCCTGAGGGGGAATGGCCACACCACGATCCCCTCTCCTTTCTCCTCTTGTGATTTTGAGCATGGATGCACCCACGCCCATCATGATTTTCAAGTTGTCAGGTCCAGGGCTTGAACTGCGGTGGGCTATGTGGGAATCCAATAACAACCACTGCACCACCTGGTGGCCTTAGCTATCCATTTCTATAGGGTCCTAGTAAAGTCTCAACTCCATTTAGAAACTGTACTAGTAGTTTCCAGGGGTAATCACTAGGCCATTTGTGTTTCTCTTGTGTGGGGAACTTGGGCAAATAGTCCTTTGGGTCAGTCTGACTCTAATGAGAGTTGAGGATTGGAAAGATAAACCACCTGCCTTTGTTAGGGCTTTGAGAGACAGCTTTCAATTAGGGCATGCTCTAAGAATAGTGATTTTTGTACCTTGTTAGGGGCAGACCAGGAGGATATAGACATGGCAGCAAAAGCTTGCTTAGATTAAAAAATCTCCTCTCCCACCTTTTTAGGCTTTCTCATAATTTCTTAGGGTCCCAGCAAAGAGAGCCTAAGCATCTCTTAGCAGCACTCTTAGGACTTAATTTTGGGAAATGGTTAAGTTTACCTGTTTTCAGGTATGGTGATGTATGAAGATACACTTCCTTCTGGAACACTGTGGGGAACAAAGATGAATGTTAGCCACTTTTGGAAAGGGAAGAGGGTTCTTTTACATTTATCTCCAACCTCCTAGTCCTTTCTTACTCCTGGCCTTGTAGTGTATGGACAGTACTAGCCATTTTCAAGGACAGAGGAGAACTGACTTCTCTTATTTTTAGTTGCTGACATTTGTAGTCCTGATTACATAATAGTCAAGTCCTGGCCAACTCAGCTTTCTTTAAATCCAAGACAGGCCTCAGACCTACTAGGGAATGGACTACACTACGAGGAAGGGAACAAATCAAAGCGCATTTTTCCTAACCGCATTCCCAGGATGACATCCTCCAAATGAACTTTTGCCTTTTTTTTTTTTCCTTTAGAGAGATTTTTGCTATAGGGTGCATGCGCTCATAAGAGACGGAAAGCAAGAAATCGCCCCCTCCCCAGGGGCAATGGTCATGCTGTAATCCCTTCTCCTCTGGGGATTTGGGCATGCACGCACATGTGCCTAGCACGTTTCTTCCTTTTTTTTTTTTTTTTTTGAGAGATTTTTGCTATAGGGCATGTGCGCTTGCCAGAGACAGACAGAGAGACAGAAAGCAGGAAATCACCCCCCAGGGGGTATGGCCACGCTGCAATCCCTTCTCCTCCATTCTCTTGGGATCTTGGACATACACGCACCCAGCGTGTTTTAAGCCACTGGGTCCAGGACTCGAACCGCGGTTGACTACGTGGGAGTCCAGCGACATAGCCATTACCCTAACTGCTGGTCCCACCCAGCGTGAGTTTCAAGCCTCCAAGTCCGGGACTTGAATCAAGGTCGACTATGTGGGGGAGTCCAGTGACATAACCATTATCTGCTGGTTCCCCAAATGAATATTTCTGGCCTGGATCTTACCTGGGGCCTCTAACCCTGCTGTTTCCTGCCATTTCCTGCCATCCCCCTTTGGATGTTTAATAAACATCTCAGACCAGATCGCCCAAAGACAAATTCCTTTTTTTTCCTGCTGCTCTTCCCCTGCCAAGGTCATGCCCATCCTACTATATAGTAACTCCAGTTGCTTAAGCCAAAAACCTTGGTGTCATTCCTCTGATTACTCTCCTTTCACCCCAACATCCAATCCAAAAAGTGCTAGTAAATTTCAGCCTACTCTAAAAATGCCAAGAATCTATTTCTCACCAGTTCCACTGTTTCCCACCTAGATCATCTTACCATCATTTCTCTCCTGGCTTACTGCAGAAGCCATCCTGGCTGCAGGTCTGTTTCTGCTCCTGCCACCCCCTATTAGTCTATTCACACTACAACAGTCATAGTGAGCCTTTTAAAACTTGGAGTCAGGCCACTCTGCTCAAGACCCTCCAATACCTTTGTATTTGCTACTAAAGGCTAACATCTTCAATGCCTTTTTATTTTTTTATAGTTTTTTAAGAAGTTATTTTATTTACTCTTATCATTATTATTTTAAATTTTACTACAGGGAACCTGCACCCACCACAGAAAAAGAAAGTGAGAGAGCAAGCTGCCTGGTCTGGTCCTCAAACCACAGTCGGCCATGTGGGAGTCCAGTGCCCTAACCATACCACCTGCTGGCCCCCCAAAAACCTTTTTAACAACGCTGTGTACAGTCTGCTCCTGCCCTGCCGGTGTTTCCATCAACCACTCTCCCTGTTGCTTACAGCAGCTCACTTGCCTCTTCCTGAAATACCAGGCATGTGCCCATCTCTGAGATGGCATTTTTTTCTGGAAAGCTTTTTTTCTCACCTACCTGCAGTCTTACTGCCTCACCTTCTTGGGGTCTTTCATTTAAATGTCACTTTAGCTAAGTCTACCCAATGTAAAACCACAACCCCCCCCCACCTTCAACATTCCCTATTCATTTTCCTACTTTAGTTTCCTCCATGTTAATTATACTTTGTTTACTTGTATTCTCCCACTGAAAAGCTAGCTCATGAGAACAGAGTTTTTTGTTTCCCCCTCCTGTTCATGGATGTACTCTGGGTCCCAAATTATTTAGTGCCTAGTAGGTGCTCATTAATTGTTAAGAAATGAAGGAATGAATGGATGATCCCCTCCCCAATCACTTTCTCTTACAGGGAAGGGAGGAGTAAGCCCAGAGGCAGCATGGCAGCTGCATACCCTGGAGACTGGAGATGCAATATCACCCTGAGTGTTTCTCTGCAGAGCTGTTCTCTCTGGGGAACTCTCCCTTGCCTTCCAGTGCGTGGGACAGGGCTTTCATCAGCAGTGGAGCCCTAGGCCAAAGGGCTGCAGAGCCAAACAGGGGGCCGGCGTGATGCAATGGTTACACAGAGGTTGGATGGGGGAAGGAGGCCGGGACCAATCTCACAGGAAGGACAACATGCTAAGAAGACCCTAAATGGCTTCCCACACTTCAGAGATGCGGTTGCTCCCTTGTGCGGAGGACCAAAGACCTCTGGGGAAAGGGAAAACTCATCTATTCCTGTGCTTCTGCACCCCTCCTGCCTAAGGCTTATGGGTCTATCTCAAGGTGCAGTCCTCTGCCGGGTCCAGGAGCCCCCAGCTACAGAGGTGGCCAGGCTGATTCCCGGATCCAAGAGCCCCCAGCGATAGAGGTGGCCAGGCTGATTCCCGGATCCAAGAGCCCCCAGCGATAGAGGTGGCCAGGCTGACGCCCGGATCCAGGAGCCCCCAGCTACAGAGGTGGCCAGGCTGATTCCCGAGGCGCTGCAGCTGAGACAGAATGGGGGTGGGGTAGGGGGAATGTCGCTGGCAGTGCAGCAGCGGAAACGGTCTGAGCCACAGTCACCCAGGCTTCTCCCTGCAGGGGTGTGTCCTACTGCCTGGCCTCCCACCCGACAGCCCAACGAGGTGGCCCGGAGTTGGCAACCGGAAAAACTAACTTCCCAAGGGCGGCCAGGGTCCCTTCCCTAGTACTCCAGAGCAGGGCCTATGCTTCGGGAAGGGGCGGGGTGATGCTGTCGGGTGAAGCAAGAGGAGTTTGTTAGCACTTCTCCCCAATATTGAATATTTCCCATCCTTCCCTGGGACGATCCCTAACTTATCTGTGGAAGGGGGTGGGCACTCATCCTAAAGATAGACACCCCACTTCTGAGAGGACGCCTGATGTTTGCGAAGATGAGAGAGTAAAAAGGGTTGATGGGGAATCAGTACTCGCCTCTCTCCTCAGGTTCCGGCTCTTATTTTGGCTTGCTTGCTGCCACCCGCTCATCTTCAACATGATATGCTCTATGCCTTAGACTCAAGCCTCTGACCCCCGGAGAGAAGAGCAGGGCTCTTTTACCACCGCCTTCCCCTCCTCTCAGGGGCGGGATCCAGAAGTCT